GGTGTGGCAGCCCTGCATCCTATATGCGTGCATGCTTCACACACATGCATATCGAATGCATACAGGCATACATGTGTACATGCTTACGTGCATGTACACATGCAGGTAATCATCCAGGCACGATTGCATACATACATACATACATACATACATACATACATACATGCATGCATGCATGCATGCATACATACATACATACATACGGATCAGCACACGTACGCACAGACGTACATATACTGTATGCGTTTAAAACAAGCAAGAAGCCAGCAAGCCACAAAAGCCAAGATACCAGACCCAGACTATCGCATGCGGCCTCCCTTAACCTTCCGTGGTCTCGACGTTTTTGGCAAAAGCTGCATGAAGCGCTAGTGTGTCACAGAACTTTGCTCCTTTTGGACTGTTGAAGTAGGCAAAGTAGCCAGCCATCCAGCGAACCCAGAAGCACAGGCTCCCGAGAGTTCCATCCTGCGTTTTTGCCCGCGCCGCTGCACACATCGACACCTGGCAAGAAGCTGCATCAACCAAGGCAAATTGCTTGCTGTGAGTTCAGAAAAACATGTCAAAGATCCGCCTGGAAACCGAGGATGCCCCAGGCAGTCTCCGGACTAGTTGACGATCTGGACTAGGACCGCTAGGACTGCTCAATGCTCGACACGTTTCTAGTAGGCTCCGACGAGGACATTGAGCATGATCAGTGTCGTTTTCCGGGCAGGGGAGAAAGACCAAAGACGTCTTCTCTTTCACCCTGCGTCAAGCGCACGGCAGTCAGCCATTTTAGGTGGTGATACTTTGTTTTGGCTTTGCAGAGGTTGCACATTGCAAGCCTTGAAGAGCACTTGCTTTGGCTTCCATCACCGGGTCAACTTCCGAGCGGAACGCGCCGTTTGCAAACACGCGAAAAATTCGTGCTCCCGATTCCGTTGAGCATTGATGCCTTGAAACTGGAATTCGGAGAAGGGGCTGAAATCTATGTGAATTTTGTATCACGCTGAAAGGCAGAGTGGCCGAAAGCTCCAGCGGTTGCGAAAGCTGGATCCTGATTTCGGGCAGGCCAGCAGCCGGGGTCTAGTCATCACATGCAGCTGCGGGCAGATTACCAAGGCGCTAGCATGAGTTGGTTGGCTGCGCATTCCGCGGAGGTGCTTCAGTTTGTCCAGAAGCACAGCCATGCAGAGCTAGGACTGGGCGCAGTTGCTGTGGGCATCCAAGGCATCAATATCAATGAACATCGACAACTCAACCGCAATGTGATGAAAACTCAAGCACTCTAAATCATAGTGGACTAGTGTCGGTAACGACTGATGTGTTGTCACCAGAGTTCGTCTTGACGAGGTATTTTCTACGTCTTGAGCCATCAAGCCCAATCATTCTTGGAAGGTGAACTGCCCATACGTGGGTGAAAATGTCTTCGTGTCACCAACGCGTAGTCTCTAAAGAGCCCTCGCCCAAAGGCCTTGTCTGAGCCTGTTCGGAGCGCGAAGGGTGCGCCCTTCTCGGCTCTCACGGCCCATGGCGCAGGCGGCGTGGCCGTGGGCGTGGCCGTGGCTTGCCTTGCTGTTTGTCTGTGGCGGCTCTGCAAAGCCCGCGCTTGACGCGCTTGACTGCGAGGCTCTGCAAAGAAATGTCGAATTGGATTTACACGGGCACGACGGGAATTGGAGAAAAGCGATTGCTGCTGTGGCCAATGGGGCCAGCTCAGGCTGTGGAAGGTCCTTCTTCTATTTGGGTGCGCTTCTGGCACTTGGTGAGCCCGAAGTTGCGCAATTCGCACGCTTCAGAGTATCTCGCGATGGTAGCATCGAGTTTCAGTGGGCTTCGCTTCCCGAGTCTCAAACGGAGAGCCTGGATCGGCCGCTGCTTGCATATTACATCGGAGCCGAGAAAAAAGATGCATTCTCGACACTGGCCCTCTCAAACTACATGCTGAAGGGCCTGATGCTGGGCGCCACCAGGTGGTGGCAAGGTTCCGCAAATCAGATTGGTGTGCCAGCGATCAGCCGGATCCCACACGGGCATGGGTCAGGAAACTCATTGTGTCCAGTTGTCTTGCGAGCGCTGGAGGTTGTGGCCGAGACGGCCGCCTCAAATGAAGACAAAGGATCCGATGTCAGCGTCTTGCAATTCTACATTCGGAATGCTACAGAAGGCCGTCGGGCCAAAAAAGAGCTGCAAGACTGGATGCTGGCGCGATCGCGTGATGGATGGGGGCCGGCGAAGTATGTGCAGTCGGCCCTGTTCTTGCATGGAGATGAAGATCTCGGTGTGCCTCGAAATACCTCGCATGCTGCTATGCTGCTAGATTCTGTTGCTCAGGATGGAAGTGCAGAAGCATCCTGGGCGGCACTGCTACTGCATGCCCGACAAAGCAACGCGAGTGGCATTCTGCATTATGCCGAGCAAGTTCGTGACTCTGACGCCCCACAGCTTCAGAAAGTCATGGCACAGCATTACTTACACCTCTATGGCTCCAGGAATGCCAGCCTTGCTGGGGTTTACTTGCTTGCCGCAGCCGATCTTGGAGATCCTAATGCGCAGCAAATGCTTCCAGACAGCGCTTGATCACGACATGCTGCAGACCTTGGTTTCATCAAGTTGCATGAAGAACTCTAAAGCACGAGCATGAACAGGAAGCCTGAATACCTCACATCATCGCAGCTGAGGGTTGCACACGCCTACGCTGGGCTGAATGTGCCAGAGCTGTCCAACATCAAGATTCCAGGTGCTCCCAACGAAGCTCGGGCATTGCAGTATTACGGGCTTGCTGCACGGCAAGGACGGCTGCTCGGCTGCCATCACATGTAACTACAGAGCCGTAAACAGGTTCGCACAGACAGATTCGCTGGATCCTGTCACAAACGGGTCTTGATTGAGGCCAGTGTCAGCCATCAACGCAGTTTCGCTGATGTTGCGCAGGAGTCGCACCTGAGACATGAAATGCGATTCTCGTGGAATTTTCGGTTCCAGCTGGAAATAGCAAGAGTTGGGAGGCCACAAATCATTTCCACCTTGGATCCAAGGTGACACGAGCCAGAGCTGCAGGACTGCGGCAGCAACTCTGCAGAGCGTAGCATTGTCTTTCCATCCTGCTGCTCGTCTTGTCACAGCATCATGTCTCTGAATCCTGTCGCTGTCGTTGTAGGTGCGGTGGTTGTGGTTGTTGTTGTTGTTGTAGCCGCTACGGATCAGACTGGCTGGGTAGCTCTCGTGGCTTTCGAACATGCCTTGGGCTCCAACTTTCTAGAGGTCCCTACCAGGCCTCTCTTCTCAACCGTACGGTGAGTTGGCCCGACTTTTGAGCCATGT